TTTATAAGCAGCATTTTGTATGCATTTGTGTCTATTATGTATGGGTATTACTAAGAAGTGCGTTTGTTCTTTTGTTTTAAAGTTTTTTCATCAACAGCCTGCTTTTCATTCTAGTAGCTTCCTCTAGTCCTGCATGAAGGGATAGTAAATAGAAGTGCATTATTTACCTTTATCATCCTACTGTTTTGTCCCCTAATGCCTACCTTCTAAGGTAAAAACCCTAGCATTTTCAATCACTGTCCCAAACTGGCATCTCTAAGCCCTGATTCTTTTCCCCTTCTCTGCACCCTGTAATTTTGCTGTGTTTGCAAAGAGACAGCAGCTAGGTCTGCATATATGTTTCCAGAAGGGCATTCCTGGTGTTTTGTCATTGCCTTGTTTCTTCTGTCCGTCTCTATTCCATGGTTCCATGTTGATTGGACAGGTATTTGAGTTACTTGTAATGCTTAAGTATTTCCCAAGTAGATTCATAAAATCATAGAATGGTTGAGGTTGAAAGGGACCTGTGAGATAATGTAGTCCAACCTCCCTCCTCGAAGTTGGGTCAGCCAGAGCAACTTGCCAAGTACCAAGTTTAGTGAAGTTTTGAATATCTTCAGGGTTGGAGTTAAGTTGCTCTCTGGGCAACCCGTTCTAAGTAAAAAAACTGTTCACCTGCTCACAGTAAAAAAGCTTTGCTTGTGTGTAAATGAAATTACCTGCATTTAATTTTATGCCAGTTGCCTCTAATCCTGTCACTGGGTGCCCCTGAGAATAGTTTGGCTCTGTCTTCTTTATACCATGCCATCAGGAATTTACATACATTGGTAAGATCCCCCCTGAGCCTTCTCCATGCTAAAAAAATCCCAGTTCTCCCAGGCTTGCCACATTACGATAGCTGCCCCAATCCCTTAACCATCTTTGTAAGCACTTGCTCCAGTATGCCCATGTATTTCTTGTACTGTGGAGCCCAGAACTGGACACAGTGCTCCAGATGTGGTCTCACCAGTGGCAAGTATAGGAGAAGGATCACCTCCCTTGACCTGCTCGTAATATTCTTCCTAATGCAGCTCAGGAAGTTGTTGGCCTTCTTTGCTGCAAGGGAACACTGCTGGCTGATCTTCACTTTGTTGATCACCAGGACCCCCTGGTCTATTTCTGAAAAGCTGATTTCCAGCCAGTCATCCCTTCGCCTGTCCTGGTGCATGAGTATAATTTCTTCTTCACAAATTCATGCTGACTACTCTTGGTCACCTTCTTGTGTTTTATGTGTTGGAAATGGTTTCCAAGATATGCTTCATTACCCTCCCTAGGACTGAGGTGAGGCTGAACAACCTGTTTTTTCCCAATTCCTTCTTCTTCCGCTTCTTAAAGATAGAAGTGATATTTGCTTTCTTCCAGTCCTTAAGAACTCTCTCAATCTGCGTGAGTTTTCAAAGATAACTGAGAGGTATCTCACAATGACATTGGCTAGCCCCCACAGCAATCCTGTCAGGTCCCGTGGACTACTGAAGGTCCAGTTTGTTTAAATGTTCCCTAATCTTGCCTTCCTCCGCTAAGGGCGACTCTTCCTTGCTCCAGACTTTCTTACTGGTCTCAGGAGTCTGGGATTCCTGATGGCCAATGTTGTCAGTAAAGAAGGAGGCAAAGAAGGCATTTAGTACTTCAGCCTTTTCTATGTCCTTTCTCGGTAAGTCCCCTTCCCCATGAATGGGCAGTAAGCCCACATTTTCCCACATCTTTCTTTTGCTGCTGATGTACTTATAAAAACCTTCCTGTCTACCCTTCGTGTTCCTTGCTAGAGTCAACTCCAGGTGGGCTTTTGTTATCCTGATCACATACCTGCATGCTTGGACAGGGTCTCTGTATTCCTCCTGGGTCACCTGTCCCTGCTTCCGCCTCTTGTATGCTTCCTTGTAATGCTTGAGCTCAGTCAGGAGCTCCTCGTTCATGCATGCAGGCCTCCTGCTGCTTTTGTTTGATATCCTGCTTGTTTGGATGAACCAGTCTTGAATTTGGAGGAGGTGATCTTTGAAAAATCAACGAGCTCTCCTGGAACCTCCCGTTCGTTTCAAGGCCGTAACTGAGGATTTTTCCAAGCAGATCCCTGAACAGGCCAAAGTCTGCTCTCCTGAAGTCTAGGGCTGCGATCCTGTTTTCTGCCCTGCTCCATCCTCTCATGTTCCTGAAATCCTCCATCTCATGGTCCAGCCAAGGCTATCCTGATCTTCACATACCTGACCAGTTCTTCCTTGTTTGTAAGAATCAGGTCCGGCAGAGCACCTCTTCTTGTCTGCTCCTCTGTCAGCTGTGTTAGGAATTCATCTTCAACTTGCCTCAGAAGCCTGGATTGCTTGTGCCCTGCTCCATTATCCCTGTGAACAGGAGGGTTTTTCCTGCTGTCTGAGGTCTCACCTACTTCTTCCTCAGCAGGGGTAGCAGACACCCACCACAATGCTACCTGTGTTGGTCTGCCTGCTAATTGTGGCCTATAAGTTCTCAGCTGATTCACTGTTCATCCCACGGTGGAGCTCCGTGCACTCCAGCTGCGCTCTCGGCTAAAGGGCAATGCCCCCTCCTTGCCCCCCTGCCTGCCTTTCCTAAAGAGCCCGTACCCGTCCATTGCAGCACTCCAGTTGTGCCCGTTGTCTGCTACCTTAGAATTCAATGCGTGTTTAGGACGGGAAAGGAAACAGAGCGGCACTGACAGCGTGTAGATGATTGTGCAGCTTTCTGTGGGCCTATCAGTCTAGGAGCAAGTACGGCACCGTTGCTATAGGAATCAATAGAATACGTCACATCTTCATAAGTCTTAAGAGTGTCTTCTGCCATCTAGCCAAAAGCAAATGTCTGAAAGAGCATTTGACTGATTCCTGCTCTCTCTCATGCTTTGCTGCAGGAAGGATCCTAACTATTTTTATTTTGGGAGACTGCAGCAGGTTCAGAAGCTGAAAGACTATCCACTGTTTTAGTTATATGTGATACATTCTTCACCAGCTGCCAGACAGAACGGTAATGTTCTGAAGGTATTCTTCAGGGCTTTGTCTGGTCTGAAATGTCAGAGAACTGTGTCCCGTAAGCATGCTAGAGGATTCACAGGATTGGTCCTTTGATAGATAAATGGAGTTAACATATAAAGGGGGAAATAGGGAAGAACAATGCTAAGCCTTAAAATAAGGCCATAACAAGGAGAGGGGTATAGGCCTGCACCTAATTCTTGATTAAATTATTTCTCATGAGAAGGTGTGATTCTTGGCTTCTTGCAGCACTGTAGAAGAGGCAAGGCATCCCGGAGTATGACAGATGCATGGCAAAACTGTCGTAGGGTGGGGCAAAATCAGCAAATGGATAAGACAGAGGGATGCAGAAGTGGGCACTTTCTTACTCCTGTATTTGGGATTTTAGACAGTTTCAGAGCAAATTTTTGCCAGCAGCATTCCAAGTGGATTTAATCAGATTTAAAAAAGTATTTCCCTTGTTCAGAAAAGACAGAATTGCAGTGGTGAGATATGCAATGGCGGGAGTTTGACTGGGGAAAGGAAGGATTGACCCCACTAGCAAAAGATGGAGAAACTGGAAAAAAATAAGGCTAACTTAAGACAAAATCAGCTAAGTGGAATAATTGTTATAGATCAGATACAGTAGGAAAGGAATCAGTTATGTTTTAGACAAAAGAAGCTTTTCTTAAGAGCACAAAAATGACAAGCTTCTCCTGTGTTGGAATTTTTTTCCCAATATTCTGCTCCCCGTATTTCTTATGGTTGGAGTATTAGTGATTGACCTTCCATTACATAAACTTTTCACTAATTTTAAAAGTTTGTTTTATGCTGCTTGTAGGTGAATATCCTACTCCAGATTAATAGACAAGATCTTAACTAAAGGAACTGAAACAGATAATTTTCTAATTTTCTTGATATCTCAGACTTATAACTAAAAACTTAGAAAGCCTTTATCTCTATAACCTTAGCAGAGATTTACGTCTTACTATTTGGCATTGTATTTATAATTAACATTCAGTTTTGCTGTATCATATGTATATGTACTATCTGGTTGTGTCATCTGAGCACTAGGGAATCTCTTTGAAGAATGAAGCATACTTACTTCCCAAGAGAGAACAGTCAAAATCCCCCACAAGTACATTGTTTCTATGGTTTCAAGTTGCAGGCTGGGAATAAATTGATCAGAAAACAGGTGCCAAGGATGGGGTGCACAGAATAGGAATTTGGTGGCTATTCAAAATAAGCATAGCTAGACAGCTGCTGTGCCAAGTCCACTGCCTGTCAGGACGACTAGTGAGCTCTCTGTTCCATTGCGCTCTATTTCCATCTGGTAACTTAATTTGTAAACTGTAAAGGCCAGAGGCTACACTGTTTTTTTATCTGTACCTCCTAGTACTCTCAGGCCCTAGAAACAATCTAGTACCAAGAATGGGAAGGACTGTGAAATGTGACAGATAATCTGACATAAGGTACAACACATAATTCTTCTCCCTCCACAGTTCACATCCACACACAAACACACCCCTCTGTTATTTGAGTTTTACCACTGTAAGTTCTGTTTATTTTGCAAAGTGCTGAATGCCATAATGATTCAACTTATGGTTCTTCTGCCTGTGTTTCTTCTACATATGTTTTGAGGCCTATTTAACAAGTAACTTGTGCCACCATTTATGTGCCTTGTCATTTAGACGTGCTTTTTTTCTGGGAGGATATGCAGTGTGTTACTGTGCACACTTTATGACTTCATGATCCCACTGCCAAGTGCAGTTTGCTACTCCAGGCTCTAATCTGCCAGCCTGCTGTGTCTATGCTCTGGTGAGACAGACAAGGAGACAAACCACTGTATTGTGCTGGACCCAGCCGTTGGCCACTTTTGCAGCACTCAGTTGCTCAAAAAGAGCCTCAGTTGAAAGCCTATTGTCCAGCTGAAGCCTGAGTACCATAATCGTGTCCCTGTGTCATGAGTTGCTGTGCCTGGCATTTCTGTATCCCTGTGATTTCATATATGTATTTGTGTGCTAGGTGAATGGAATGCTGAAAAAATTAGAAAACCGTCTTACCTGCTGCTACAGACATAGCAAGTTCCTTCACTTCAGGATTTATCTTTCATCACCTGCTTCAGTGTTTCCAGCCTAAATTTTCTGTCTAACATTTTAGGCTCATCTGATTTTTTTTTTTTTTTTTTTAAATCCTCTGTCCTGACTGGCTGTGAAACTTCTCCAAAATCTTCTCATTTGAGGATTTAATCTACATGACTCTTACTTCCCTCTTTTAGATCTCTGAAGATGGTAAAACAATCTGGATATAACAACCATCCTTGGAGTCCTTAGTAGCCACTTCCCTTCCACTTGTTTTTATCATTTGTTTATAACCTTTCAGTAATTCTTATTTTTCCCGGCAATTAGATACAAAATATGTGCATGTTAAGAATTTCAGGCGTGTAATGACACTTTACTACATTGCATTTAAGTTACATTTGCCATTTCCCACTGGCTGCCATTTTGCAAAGTCATTGATGTTTGCTGTAATTTTGTACTCTTTGAGGTTAACTTTGACTTTTTTTGGAGGGGTAATCTATTTGTAATTGTTGTAATTATTCTGCCAAATAAAATAATTTAAAAAGACACTTGGGCTTGTTTGGCAATGCAGTTTTTTTACGATCACCAATGTTACTTGTTGCTCTCAGTTCCATTGTGCTCTAAGTCTGTTTGTATTCAACTGTTGTTCTACTAGTTTATTTTAAATGGGAGGTGGATTTATTAGACAGTCTATGCCAAGATTTATCTATTTACCTTCTTTGATTATGTGTTTTCTCCAGTCACCTAGTGCTTTCTAAGACTGTTTCTCAGTTCTTACGTAGCTTTGCATAGTAATACATCCATCGGTCACTATTTACTTATTATTGATTTGCTTTAAAAAATATTTTTTCCTGATAAAGAAACAGGAAATCATGTTGTTTTTCCTATGATACAGAAAGGCAAGAATACTCTAGGCAGTTGCATTAGTATGATCCTAATTCCATGCAAGGCTCAAGAATGATTTTTGAAAGCGAGAATAACTAAGCATGAGGAGGACCTAGATGGTAGATGGGATAAAAAAGCAACGTAACTTTGCTAACCTTCTCTTTCTTGGATTAGCTAACTTTCCACGCAGAGGAGACAGTGTATGTCTTACTTATCTAGACTTCAGTGAAGCCTTTGATACAGTGCTATCTGAAAATTTATTTGGGACTCAGAAGACAGATAATGTAAGAATTGCAGGGTAGGTAAGAAACTCAATAAAGAAGACACAAAAGACATTGCGGTTTCTTCGGGATTTGCTTTGGGATTCATGTAATTTAGTATTTTCAGTAATGTCCATGGCACAAAAATAGGAAGTGTAGTAATTAAAGTTGGTGATGATGCAAAATAGACAGGTATCATTGAAGCAGAAGAGAGTAAGTTATATGGAAAGAACTGGATGATTCTGAAGACTACACAAATAGAAATCAGATGATACCTGATGACAGTATAGTCCACAGTCATGCACTTAGGGACTTGTAGCAGGAATCGGCACTGTAAGATGGACGCTTATCTAATGGCAGTGATTAAGAAGGAGAAACAGCCCAGTGCATTAGTCCACTTGCAGGAAAATGTGGGGTTATCACTGTTATAATATTGTGGGAGGCAGTTGTGAACCTAGCAAAGTTTGGTAGAAATTGGTGTTGGTGACAGAAGTATTTAATGCCACATGAATACATGGCCTTCTGGAGACTATAGGTACAGTTCCATTTGCCCTTGTTCTAGACAGGTTAACTGGGACTAACACGGAGAACGCTGACGGAATGATGAGAAATGGGCACTCAATTTTAGGAGACCCCATAACAGTTTCACTTGTTTAGTCTGAGAAAAGGAGGAGTGAGTGTGGGTATGACTGCTATGTATAAATGCTTCAAAGCATAAACAATAGGCACAAAGAAGAACCATTAAGGGCAATGTTGGTAAAAGAATAGATGGAAATAGCTAGTTATACTAAAAGAACATAGTCATTCAAAGAACTCACTTTTTTAAGCAACTGTCCCATAGGAATACCAAGGTTTAAAGTGCTGTGCAATAAATTTATGTCTGAAAGGGTTACATATGACATGGTTGCTATTCATCATACAACAGTGAACTTGCTGACCCAGCGGTTCCCCCATCTGTGTTCTGTCAATTAGTGATACAAGGTGAATCCTTTATTACACTCTTATCAAACGCAACCCAGAGCCATCGTTCTAATCACCAAGTATCATGGAGATACTTGCACTATTTGGACCAGGGGGCAGTAGGTTTGGAGGGAGTTGTTGATAGGTCTTTTTCTGTGTTCCCCTGGGATTCCCCACCAAGAATTCCTCTATTTCCTTCACTTTTGAAAAACAGAATTCTATACTCCCAACACAATCTCCCATCTTCTCTATTCTCCTTCCAGGACCAAAGTCTTCCTACTAACCTTTCATACTTTGCACCTCTGCTTTGGCTCTTGGCTAGAAAATGAGTGGTGTGGACTGCTACCTGTAGCACTCTGCTTCTTTGCTAAGAAGATGCGAGAAGCCATGCACAGATGTCACTGCACAAGCTGTGGAAAGTGAGTTTGGTGAGGATGGAAAAGTGGAGGTAGAGGCATAGTAGGGCTAGACAGCTTACTCTGAGGTCATACAGAATTGTGCAGAGTTGAGTAAAACAGAAGTATGGTTGGTACCATGATAATACTGATGACTCATTATTTTGCATCCAATAATATTGCATATCTTTTTCTCTATCTTTTGGCAACCCTGCTGTTTCCTTTGATTGCTTTTAAAATAATCAGGAGGTAAGTTTGGAATTCTCTCTCTACTTCTGCAGACTATTGTTTGGAACCTCTGGAGACAGAGGCAAACTCTTTTCTTTGCCTTAATTTATTCTTTTTTGCCTTTATTTCAATTTGTCTGTCTTTCTTTGTGTGCTACAAATTGCTTATGGTATTTCTTCATTAAAGACAGATTGTAAAAGCAGTGAGTGGAAAGGCCTAACTAGGTCTATCAGACAGTGATGCAAGATGGCAGTTGAAGATAGGTGAGTCAAGGAGAGAGCAAAAAGCAACAGTATAAAAGCTATATGATATTTGGGAAGTCTCAAAGGATAACTGGCAGCAGTCTGCGTATGCAGATTCCTTACTCTTATATTATTACAGCGATCCGATCTGTATTTTTCCCAAAATAAAAAAATTTAAGGGACCTGTTTTGATGGGCTTAAACTTGTTTGCATCAGATCTGTGGAATCTGTCAGGGGAAACGACTCTGGATAGAAAAAAGCCTTATGAAAGTCCGTACAGTTTCTGTAGGAAAACAAGGCAAAAGGAATCTCTGGGAATCAGCTTATCCTGCCCCAAGTCAGAATCTGTACCGCCTACATCACTCTGGACAGATGCCTGTTTAACCTGTTCTTAAAAGACCTCCAGTGATGAAGATTGCCATCCTTCCTGGACAAACTATCCCAGAATATATCCATCTTTACTGCTGTATTTTTCCTTAATATCTAGCATAAATCTTCCTGGGAGAAATGTCAAGCCATTAATTCATGTGCTGTGTGTATGGGGAGCAGCTCTTCCCTGTATTTGCAAGCAGCCTTTTGGATATCTGAAGACTGTTACTTTCTCTTTCTCGATTTGGGCTTTACAGTTCTCATCACACTTAATATTCTCCCCTGAACTATCCTGGTTTCTCCCACACGATTTCTCTGATGCACAGAGCCCCAAACTGCAAAGGACAGTGTTGGTGAGACATTAACAATTGATACCACAACAGAAGGATTACTTTGGAAGGGTTCCTCAGCAATACTGGAAAAATTTAATTTTTGCAGCCTCAGGGAAATGTTGAGCTGGGACTGCTTGTGCCCTGGAGAGGAGAAGGGATGGGGAAGAAGCAGAGACAAAATGTGGAGAAGAATCTGGAGTATCCTTGTCACTGCTTGTGCTGCCACCAAGGGGATAAGAGAAGTGGGGAAGCATTCAGTTAGTGCTCGCTTTTCTTTTTTATCTGCTTATTTTGTGTCAGTGTAGTACTGTTAACTCACATTCAGTTTATGATCTGTTATATCCCCAAATATTTTTTTCTGAAAAAAACAAACCAAACCAAACCCTACTCTTCAGTGAGTTGTTCTCCATCTTCTATTTATATAGTTGTTGATTTCTATCCTGATGTGAAACCTTACGCTACTTCTGATTGAATTATGTCCTGTTTTTTCAAATCACACCTCCAGCTTTTCAGGATTCTAATTGTAATCATCCTTCCTACCATACCTGTAGCCCCTCCAAACTATATGTTGCTAGGAAATTTAATAATAGTTTTTTAGTTCACTACCCATATTGTTAATGCAAATATTGAAAAATTCTGAATTTAGGAACAAGTAGTAATTTCTTTAGAATAAGTAGAGCCTTAATCCTGGGATGTTTTCTGTTTTTCAGTATGTTTTCTATGCCATATCGCATCAATTCCAAAACTACTGAGAATATTTTAAGTTTCAGTGAGGAGAGCGCTGCTGACTTAAGTGAAAATTGGATGAAACCCTGCCTCTTCAAGGCAATCAAGCACCTTCATATACTACTTTAATTACCTGCAGATCAAAAAATTGAAAGCAGCTGCAAAAGTATCTCCCCAAAACAACTTGGTTCATATCTTTTCTAACTTGCTCATCTTAGTTTAACAATCTTAAAAGCTTGAATATAATAGCAGAGAAGTAAAAACAACAGACACAAATGTGTGGGAGAAAAGGTGGCCTCAGAGCCCCAAGGGGTCAGTCAGTCTTTTCTTGAAATAAGATGGGCTAGGAATATAGCGTAAAGTGAGCTTGAAGTGAGCAGTGGAGGCATGGAAGGAGGCCCCAGAGTGTGCTCAGCCTCCAAGGACTATTAAAGGAACACAAGCATTACAGAGCGAGTCCCGTACCACTGACGTGTTCCAGACGAGAAATGGCTGGGAGCTGCCAGGATACTTGTAGCAGTCAGGGAAGACTTGGGTTGAACCAAGCACTTTTTTTAAGAACACAGACACTTATTTCGTACACGTTTATGAAAAAACACTTAAGGAAAATGGAAACTATTCAGAACAAAATTAAAAGATTTTTCTCTTAATTTGAGACAAGACATTCTTGTCCTGTAATCTTCACCCTTTTGTGCAAATGCATTGTGCAGAAGTTTTCCTTTACAGTATTGTGGTGAGTGGAAGAATCATGGGAAACTGGTTTCATTCTTAACTAGCTGATGTTGGGAAAGTCACTTACATCCAGTTGTACCTTATTTTCCATTTGCAAAACAAGAGAGCTACTTCGACTGTTTTCTCAAGTGCTTAGAGAACTATAAATGCACTAAGCAAGATCTGAGTTTTATTATTACAAGATTTTTCTTTTTTGGGGGGACTTTTACTCATTCAGTCTATGGCTGTAGTGAGTCTGTCGTTGCTTAACTGTCAAGTGGCTGACCTTGTAATTTGATGATCGAGGATCCAGATAGAATACAATACGTATCATATGGCATTGAATTGAAATTCAGTAGTGCTTCAAAATATATTCTCCTGCGCCAGAATGTAATGAAG